GTAAAGGTACGATCCCAGTAATGAATATAACTAACTGTACTGTCTACCTAGAATGTACCAATAAATTCATTTTAAAAGAAAAAAAACATTAAATACTTAGGAATTAATCTAATCTGGAAATGAAAGCCCTCTGTAACAAAAACTACAGTACCATGATAAAGAAGATTGAAGAAAACATCAAAAAATTAAAAGATATCCCATTTCTGGATTGGTAGCACAGATCTTTTCAAAGCAGGAGGCATCACAATGCCAGATTTGAAATTATATTACAAAACTACAGTTATAAAAACATCATGATACTGGCAGCTATCACCATGCAGTAAAATAAAAATCACAATGTATGAGAGATCTAAATATTAAAACATAAATTATTTGTTGGAAGATAAAATAGGTAAAACTTTTGAAAGCATTGGGATAGGTAACGACTTTTCAACAGAACCCCAATTGTACAAGAAATAACATCAACAATGAACTATTGGGATTATGTTAAATTAAAAGCTTCTGTGCAGGAAAGGAAACAACAGAGTGAAGAGATAACATTTTGAATGGGAAATATTTTGGCAGCTGCTACTCTACTTGGACTGAAGATTAATATCTAAAATATATTTTTAAAACAAAAAATTCTATCCCCTTTAAATAAAAGATCCAATCAAAAATGGGCTTCTGAAACGAATGGGCACTAGTTAGAAGAAATACAAATGGCCAGTAAATACAGGAAAAATGTTCAAAATCATTGACTATGAGAGAAATGCAAATGAAGACAACCCTGTGATCCCACTTTACATCAGAAAGAATAGCTATTATCAATGAATTAAACAACAGCAAATACTGGTGAGGTCGTGGGGGGAAAGGAGCACTTCTACATTGGTGGGGATGCAAACTAATACAAACGCTATGGAAATCCACTTGGAGATTCCTCAAATTCAGAAAATAGAGTTTCCTTTGATCCAGTTACTATCGTTACAGGTATCTTCTTGAAAGAGTTAAGATATCACATTACAGTTATATATGCATACCCATGTTTATAGCACCACAATTCATAGATCTTGGAAGCAGTCTTTATGTGCAGTGATGAGGATGAAGAAAATGTGGTATACACACACAATGGAGTAATGTGGTATTTACACAGTCTCAGTCATGAAGAAGAAATAAATTTGAGACAATTGTAGAAAAAAGGATGCATCTTGAAATCATAATGTTAAATGAAATAAACCACACACAAGTATAAACATAACATAGTTTCTCTTATGTGATAAACACAAAGTATAAATAATTTAAAGAGCAAAGTCAAAGATACATAATATGAAGTATAGAGATAGATTACTGGCAAATGGGAAGGGGAACTAGAGATGGAACGTCACGGGAAAGAAGTATCAGTTAAAAGAATTAAAATGTGCTGTGTCCATGTATCAACTTACTACAATGAATGTAATAACTCTTACAGTAACCATGTACAAACATATAAAAATGTCATTAACAGTCCTCCTCCCCAGTTATGACTACTAAAAATGTCTCTGAAATTGCAGAAATTATCCTGGTTTATTATAACTCACACTATTTCTATTTTAAAAAATGAATAAATAGAGATACACAAACACACTGGGAATGTAATTAAAAACTTAAAATAACTAACATATTTATGCAACCTTGTTGCCGACAGCACAAAATACTCCTGCCTCAACCTCTCTGAATGCTGGGAATATATCTATAAACTGCCACATCTGGGGACCTGATTCCATTTACTTGTCCTCTTAGCTAACCTCTTTTATTGCCAGGAAAAAGTTAATGTATTGAGTGAAATATGGATTTTTTTTCCTTTCAGGTTTATATTAAAAGTTTTCCTTTTCAAATTCTGCATCTAAGACAGTCAGGGTCCAAGCATCACAGTGCACTGGTGTAGGTATGAGTCTGGCACTGTCTTCGCTTTTAGCCACTTTAAAACTTTTTCCCAACGCCTGTCCTCTCATCTCTTTCCAACTGCTTCAGAAAATACTGGAGTCAGGATGACTGCACACCCTCTCCTGTCAAGCCTGGAATGAAGACTTCATGCACTGCTAGCTATGGTGCAGTTAAGATAGTATCTTCTGTTGTTCAGTCAGTATCTCGTTGGCTGGCTTCCTAGAATGGGTAAAGAAACTGACTGAAAAATTATCCCTTTCCCTCTAATTTAGAACAACAACAAAAAAAGAAAGAATGAAAGAATCTTGGAATTACTTTTACTAGAAGAAGAATTAATAAACATCTTTAAAAATAAACTAAAAGTGGGAAGGAGTCTTACACTGGTCATTTCCTTAATGCTGCTAAGACAAACACTTAATTTCCTCAGACATAGTTGTTGCCAGGCCAAGTTATTGCCATGCTCTGGCGAGTCACAGATGGAGAAGATATTTGTAGATAATGCCCTACTTCAGTGCTCAGTGCTGAACTAATGGTATATCATAAGTCATGCTCTGCAGCATCTCAACCAGTAAGAATTACACTAATGATATTGCCTAATGTAATTCTCTGAAAATCCACGAATACACCACGTAAGTGAGCTGAATGTCTGAACGACTGTAATATACTGTAGAAATTGTTGCACTGTAACTTGAGCTAATTTAATTATTGTGTGAATATGCATGTGTGTACTTGTGTGCATTCTCATGCGTCCTGGTGTGTAAAGGCTCAGTTACTAACCGTGAAAAGGAGGGTGAAGATTTATGTCGTCTCATTACCAGGAAGTTGGTTCTCCCACTCCAGCCATGGAGGAACAATGACTCGCTTTTCTGCTGGCCTTCTGCACCATTTCCAGTGCTCTAAACTGTCTTCCTGTAGGAGGCAAAATGTTGTGCCCTGTGCACAGTACAACTTCCAGGAAAGGGGTGCTGCTGTGGTCTGACAGATACCACTGCACTATGTGTGCTTCCAGGCTTGTCTCCTTCAGAGCCTGGCAATGGCTAAGGAGTGTTTTAGATTCCTTCCCTTTATCTTCCTTCTTCCCACTGAGGTTCAGTGGCAATTACATTGATATGGCCAGCTTCACACCTTAGTGAGAAGTGTTTAAAGACAGATGCCATTCAGGAAGCAGAAGGCTTAATGGAAAATGCTACATTTCCATAAGTGTGACAAAGAAGTAAATGCTGAAAATGTACCATCTTCATTTGGGTCTATAAAGCCCAATGCTGACTTGAAACACTGTTTACACTGAACCTAAATGTCTCAGACATTGAGTACAACAAATTCCCTGTTTTGTGGAGAATGGGGAGAAGGGGTTGCCTTCTCTCTTGAGTGGGACCTAGGTGACTTCCTGTCAGGCTCCTGTGCTTACCTGGAGGTGTCCACTGTTCATCCCCGGTCTTGGAAATGCTCTGCTCCCACTGGCCATTCTCTGGCTTTCCCCGTGGCTGCTGTCCTTACATCCAGGAGCTTCTCTCTTTTGATGCTTTTTCTAGAGACCACCCTGGGGAAGAAGGTACATTCTGTCCTCTCTGGAGATGCCTTTCTGGCCTGCTGTCCCCTCAGCTGTTGGTGTCCAGCTTCCTCAGTGATCTTCCATGAACCAGTTGGGAGCAGCATTATTTCACATGGCTCATGATACTAATGATACTAGGCTGCCTTGTTCAAAATCCCTCTACTTACTGACTTTGGAACTTCAGGCAAGTTACTTAATTTGCCCAATTTCCTTCTCCATAAAAATACAGCCAATAATATCACATTATTTTCTTTAGTGGAGTCAACAATACAATGCATCAAAAAGGCTTAGAAAAGTTTGGGCTACATAGCAGTAGCTATAGTGTCCTTCAGCAATTTGTTACCTTGTTTAACAATGCAGGAATGTCTAAGTGTATTATATTTTTATCTCTGTGAATATAACAAGTCCTAGCACTTAACAGAGAGTAGATGCTTATATGGACTAGGGAAAATTAAATCATAAAAGTTGAAGATCTATATGATATAGACAGATTATCTTATATGTAAAGCAAAACTAATGAAATCATATTGTTGCGTTAATTCTGAGAATTATCTCTAAGTACTCAAAGAAATACTAATATCCTACCTTCTCCATCCCACCCAACACTCCTTCCCCATTGTCCACCAGACTAAGTTTAACAGGGCTGTGGAATCTCACTCTTCTTACTGGTGGGGTTTCCAACAATCATGTTGGCCTCCAGGTGCTTTAGGGATGAAAGGTTTCAACCATGCTAGTGAGTTTAAGTCTCAGGATTTCTAACTAAACTTTCGAATAACACCAGATAATTTTTTACTGTGATAGAGAAATGCTTTCATTATTTCCCTTCTGGTGGAGGCTGCCTCCTTTTAAGCAAGATTAGCCCAGACAGGCAAGGACAGAGAGAAGCCTCTGGACACTACCTGAGTCCAGCTAACTGAGCCAAAGAAAATCCTACCTAAAATTTGCCAATACATAAGCTAGAAGTGTTTCTTTTCCTTAACCAATTTTGATTTTTTTTTTTTTTTTTTGTATCAGGGATCAAACTCAGGTCGTTGCACTCAGAAGGCAGGCAGTGGAACCACTGAGCTAAATCCCCAGCCTGTTTTTTTGTTTTTTGCCTCTTTCATTCAAAAAGGGTTGCCTAATGAAAGGATGATTGACAAAAATGTAGTTTCCGTGTTGGTCTTTAAATCCATTAGCTCCTTTACCTCTCTTACCCTCCCTGACTTGTCACTATTCCCATTGTAGTAGAACCCTTCTCTGCTCTGTGACTCAGTTACTTTACTTAAGGACTCCCCACAGCTATGCCACCTCCTCCTGCTCTCTTCAGACTCTGAGTGAAAAGCCGTTGCTCACGGAGAGCACCAGTGATGTGCAGCAAGGAGGGCTGTGGGAAGGCATTTCTGCTCTAAACCTAAAGCACACAGCTCACTGGAGCCTTGAGGAATTTGCACACCGGATGATCTTTTGTCAGTGACAAGCACCTAGTTCTTGTCCTAGGTCACTGTCCTAGCAGCAGTGCCCCCTCAATGCATTGATGCTGTGGTAGGGTGTGCTGACTAGCAGGATGCAGCCAAGAAGGAACAGCAATACCCAGTATCACAAATTGTAGTTTTTGATATTTTCCTAATGATGCATTAGACAAAAATAAGTCAAAGTGGCCAGAAAATGTCTTCAAACCTAAAAGGAAATGCAAAACAAAGCAAGAGCAGCAATCTAATCACGTGGATTTGCTGCTTTAAAGAAATAAGAGCCTATGGAAAATGTGTAAGGAAAAGCATTCAAGGAGATCCAAATGGAATTTGCTAAATTCCATTTATCTTACAGGTTTAAATATACAGCTTTAAAGCTGGATGACTTAGAACAGCCCCTGAACATGAGTTCTACATGTCTTCTCTATGCCTCACAGAGCATGCAAGGAAAATGTGCCTGAAGGCTTTCAATTAGCATGCTTAGCTATTTAGTACATTCTCCTATGCATGAAAATATGAATGAATGCTAATGTGAGCCTCATCTCCTAAAAATTATATCTCTCCTTTGTCTTGGATCATAAGATCTCATGTTCCCTCAATAAATTTTCTTAATTAAAATTATTCAACTTACCTACAAAATCTCTAATGCACACTTTTTAATTTAATTTATTCTTATGAACATTTAGCCAGAGATATTCTGGTTACAAGGCAAAGCTTTATCATCAAGCTGATACATAGAAGTATACTCTCTAGCTCAGTTCAGTTTCCTTTAAAGTATGCATACAAATATTGCAATTGAAAAAATACACCAAATAGCTTTATTCTGATTTAATTGCTATGTATCAGAAATTCTACAGGACTCTGTATCACATGCAAAGGAAATTTCCTGGCACTTTCTGTAACTGAAGATACAAAAGAAATATGAGAAATAATTTGCTAAATTTTGGAAAAAAATCTTTAACAGATTATAACACCAAGTAGGAAAAGATATATCATTTACTATTTGATCCAACTATCTCATCACTTTGTTCGCTCAGAAAATAATCAGTTTTATCATTCATGTCTTTTCTGAGTGAACAGTGATGTCATCCAGCCCTAATATGTTAAACATATGAAATAAAATGTACCTTCTGTCTTTACAAATTACACTTACTATAAAAATAATAGAAAAGAATCAAGGTGACTTGAGTTTCTATGAAATTCAGTTCTTGTACTTTTTAGGGATTAGAATAAATTGTTAAAACAAAAATGTGCTATTTAATGAAATTGGTTCTGGTCCTGCTTTTGCCATTTACCCTGTTGTATAATATAATCTAGTGCTGATAGTAGCATTATTTGTAATAGTCAACTAGTAGAAAGAACCCATAAATCCATAAACTAATAAATGGATAAATGAAAGATGTAGCATTTGCACAAAGGAACATAATTTGTAAATAAAAAGTAATAATTAATTGATAAATATTGCAACATAGATGAATTCTAAAAACACTTTGCTAACTGAAAGAAATCAATGACATAGATTTATATGAAATGTTCACAATGGACAAATCTACGTAGTGAGGCTGTAAATTGGCAGTGTCCAAAGGTTGAGGAAAGGGAGGGTTAATGTGCAAAGGAGACACTGCCAAAGGGTAAGGTTTCTTTTAGGGGTGATTACAATGTTCTAAATCTAGATCACGATAGTTGCTGCACAACTTTGTGGGTCTACTAAAAAACCACTAGGATGGAACACTGTAAATGTGTTGTTTATATGGTATTTAAATTATGTCACAATCAAGCTGTTAATTTTTCTACCATAGCATGCAAAATCATTCTGGAATTTAGAATCCATTTGACTTTTTTAAAAGTTATGCAACAAATTTACATTAATTTTATAAGGCATTGACATTACACATCTCACAACTATGCAGATTTAAGACAAAAATGTTTAGATGTAGGATTAGAACTGTGTGTTGGGTAGGAAGGTTTTTCAAAGTTCTTTTGAAGGGTATGCAATGAAGCAGTGGGAATGGCAAGGATTACACATTCAGCAGAAGTCATTCCAGCCAGTCTTAGGAGCACTTACTGGTCTTTTCACTGCAACAACTACAGTAGGAAACGGTAGGCAAATATTTGTTTACTCAGCCATAAATGCATAAAAACTGGTCCTCGGGAAATGTTTAAAGGTCTGAAGCAGCTTTCCAGGGTTTGGCCCACTCTCTTACCAAGAACAACTGCCCCTGGAAATGCTAATCTACATGTAGAAAAGAAACAAACTGTGCAGATTCCCACGAAAATCCTATGGTTTCCCTCCCACTGGTAAATTTTCTCTCTGAGCCTTAATACTTCACTTTGTTCACTAACAAGTTTCAAAGGTACCTGTTTAAAGGCTATTTTTTTTTTTTACACGTGGGCTGTGAGAGAGCAAGCAGTTTGGAAGGGAGATGACTGGATCACAATGGACCGTGTGGCTGAGGACCGGGAATAACTCCTCTGTTACGTTCCTCTAATCGCTTGCTACAGTTTTCTTAGCGATCCCTTTGTGTTTATAAATAAGGAAGAATCTCTCCAAGCCTCAGCTTTACCAAGGCCCAGAAGCCAGTAATTGATTAGCATCCCGCATTCATTAACATCTTATGCTTCTAATCAATCAACTACAGTCTCCTATTACTCACTGTTAGATTTCCTTTGCCTAAAGATGGCTGCTACATAAAACAGTACCCTCCCACATTTGAAAAGATGAAAATAAAGTGTTTGTAGATGGGGAGGGGAGGAGGGGGTGAAGGGAGGTCAGAGGTAAGGGGAAAAAATGAGAATCACGACTTGCCATGTAAAGGTACATGATCCCAACAATGAATGTAACTGTACTGTATCCCTAAATGTACCAATAAACTCAATAAAATTAAAAAAACAAAACAAAACAAAAAAACAGTACCCTCCTTCCGATAATGCTCTGTGCCTTAAGATGGCTGCCACATAGAATAGCAGCCTCCGTGTTAAATAAATATAGCTTCTCCTACCAGGGGAAAGCTTTCCTCCTCCTATTCTGCCTCTTTTCCTGCCAAAAGAATAACAAGAATAACCTGACAGAGTAACCAGTGATGTCACAAGCCCCTCCTAGTGATGTCACATGCTCCTCCTTAATGTCACCTCCCTCAACTCCACCCCAGCTCAGGTTAACCCCATCCCACTCCAATAAAAGAAGGTCCCTGTTCCTCCATGCTGCCTTTCCTTTGTTAGGAGATAGCCCAGGAGATCCTCCCAATACTAAAGGCTTGTGGTAGTCCTGGACTCACCACCATCCTTTAAACTCAATCCTTGTCGCTTTCTACAAGCTTCCCACTGCACAAAGTAAAATACAGAGAAAGCTGTCAAGGCATAAATCCCGTTAAAAGGGAACCAAATCCAGAGGGTGAACATTAAGCACCTGAAGGCTACTTAGAAATATGCTTTATCAACTCTACCACCTGTGATGAATTGGCAGTTTTTGCTCTGACTGGAAACATGCAAAAGTTTCACTCATCTAAACAAATTATAAATAACATGACAATAACTCTCTGAGAATACTGCATACTGAACCACTTTACTGTGACTTCACAGTACACAATTTATAGACAAAGTAGCTTGTGACTCCTTCATTCTAATCTCTCCCAAATCCATTCTAGTCAAATGATACAATCCAACATGTCACTAAAATCTCTGCTGACCCCAAAGCATTGCATCTAAGCATCAGTGATGTGCATTCCCCTTACTCCTCTGCCAGCAGCCAGTATCTTTCAGCATGGTGCCCCTTGTACTCTGAAGCACTGGCTTGTCAGAGCTTTTGAGGACACCACACCATGGTTTTCCTTTTAGTGACTCTGTTGTTAGTTTCTCTCCCCCTTTCACTCCCTCTCTTAGTTCTTTATCTTATAGAGCTGTAAACATTGAATGCTGTAAGCTTAACCATATGATTACTTCTGTTTCCTTTGTGCATTAATTTCTGGGAGATCCTGAGGACTTTCATGCCATTGTTTGGTGACAACTCCTGAGTTTGTATGTCCAATTCAAACTCAGTACTTTCAGAACCAAATTGGATCTTCTCACCTAAACCTGCTATTGCTCAGCCTAAACACTCTAAACCCATACTTGATTCTTCTTACATGCATATTCCATATCAATATTTAATAAATCCAAATTGAGCTCTAGATTCAAGAGAATGTCTTTGAGAATAATTTTAAGTGTGTTCCTAATAGGCACGTTGATTCTAAATTGTTCATAAAAATGTAAAACCTCAAGAACAGCAATATGAGAATACTTTTACTATATAATTGATGTTTTATTTTGTGATTTGGCTTGGCTACAGGGCCAAATATCACTTTGAGTATATCTTCAGAGAAACATCTAAAGTGAGCTTTCTCTAATTATCTGGGAAGCCAACTTAACACAAAATTAACCATCACTACACAGTAAGAATTGGGCACTGAGTGAAGCAGTTTGCCATCCATAACATGTGGGAGCCTCATCTAATTTGTGAGGAGGCCTTAGAAGGCTGAGGCACCCAAATAAGGAGCTTGACCTGCAGCCTTCAGATTTAAGACTGAAGCATTGCTTTCCCTGGGTCTCTCATCTCTAGCCCTGCAATTCTGAACTTATCAGCCCCTACAATTTTTGACTCACTCTCTCCCTTACCCTTTCTCATGCTTGCTTTTCTTGTATTTCTCCAGGGAACCCAAACTAATATATATTTAAAGACCTATAAAACTGTAATATTCAAGACTGTATGGGCTGAGGGGATGACACATGTGCAAGTAATCTCAGAACTCTGGGCGGCTGATAGAGGAGGATCGAGGGTCCAGGCCCAGCCTGGTAATTTAGTGACATAGTGAGACCCTGTCTCAAAAAAGAAAGAAAGAAAAAAGAAAAGAAAGGGCTGGAAATGTAGTTCAGTGTGAAGTCCCTGGGTTAAATACCCAGTCCTGCAAATGAACAAACAAAAGTCTTTCAACTAGGTGTAGAAAATTATGTCTTAAATGATTATTAAAAATATTTATTTGAATGATAGAGTGATAAAATATTTAAATTAAGATGTTTTTATTTGAAAAAGAAAGAAAAAGCCATAAATTAAAAGACATTGGCAATGTACATAGTGGACTAAAATCTAGTATAAAGATACATGAAGGTGTATTAATTAATAAGAAAAAACATTCAAAGAGTTTTATCAACAGAGAAAGACAAGCTGGTGTTAACCTGATTTAAAGTTTGACTTAAACCTATCTCTGTACTTGTGTGATAAGACTTGTCCCAAAGTAGCCACTGTATATAATGACTTGTACCAGAACTTGATATGTAAGCAAATTTTAATCTAAGCTGAGTATATTCTTATAAACAAGCAATTGAGTCTCAGCCTCTCAAAAGCTGTCAACCAAGCAGACCACATCCATATAAGGCAAATATCTCATCACACCATACTCATATAGAATAAGTGCCAACTCTAGCCTATCAGGATGTTTCCTGGCTATAAAAAGAACCTACTCACAGAGTAGGTTGCAGCATTTTGAACCAACTTCAAGCTAGAATACTAACCAGGTCTAGAACACTTTTTCTGGTTCAAATAAACCTAAATTTAACTTATGTTATGCTTTTTCTTGATAATGGTCAGCAAACATAAAGACAACCCCTTAACTGGAATCTGAAAAATGTGAAAAGAACGTTCTAGAAGCTATTTCATTGCAACTATTTTAGCAAAAATCAGGGTCATTTGTTATCAGCCCTGGTGAGAAGGTTAATACCTACCTATCTTATGCTGCTCTGGTGAAAACATAAATCAATGAAAAACTTTTGAAAATAACAACTACAAGTAAAATTGAGCATATATACATGATATAACCAGCAATTCTCATTCTAGATATACACCTCGAACAGTATATAGCTCCTGCAACATGAGACAAATATAATATTTTAGCCACGAAGTCAAAATAGTAAAAAGAAGGATGAAATCATCCAAATGATTATCAAAAGTACGATAGAAAAAAGAGGGAAAAGCTTATACTGTCTTAGCAAATAATAAACTATAATTACATGCACGAAGGTTTATATTGTTTATTTACTGTTCAGAACATTTGTGCAGTATAGTGATCAAAATAAGGCAAACTTAAAAAAAAACACTGGGCATATATTCAAATATAGCACAGCTGTCAAAGAAAAGCAATAGAGAAATTAGGAAAAAGTGTAAGCATCATCTGAAGGAAGGACAATAGGGGAAGTGCCTGGGAAAGGTAATGAAGGGGCTCAGAGTGTCGGCAGTGTTCTGTTTCATAACTTCAGTGATAAAAGCATTCATTGTCATTATTTTATTGGTATTATTCCATCTGTGAATGCTGTATGAATTCTCTTGCATACATAAAATGTATTTCAGAATGAATCAAATGATACAACCAGAAGAGGATTTTATGCAAAATTTAAGTGGCAAGCTATTATGACAAAGCAGGTACATAAGGGTATAACAGAAGCCAGCAGAATGCATATCTTCAGAAGTTTAGGGAGGGGCCGGGACTTAGCTCAGTGGTTCTGCTGCCTCAAAGAAGCTTAGGGAGTGGCAGGAGCCAAATCTGAAAGTGCATGTGTGTTTAGCTGAGGAGTTTGGTTTTTATCCTGGAGATAAAAATGATTTCCCTTAGTGCAGCCTCCAGTTTCATTTTGTCTCCTGTGCTGAGCTCACTACCTTCTGTATCAGGAAAGGTCTCAAGCATTCATTCACTGATTGGTAATAAAGATACAGTAGCACTGCAAATACAAGAGCAGAGAGATTACCCTTCACTAGACACTTAGTGAACGTGATAGTGCAGGACAGTAGCTGCAGGACAGATAGCCTTGGTGAGACTTTAGGTGGGGGCTGCTGTTATTGACAATGAGCTTACAGGGTGGAGACCTGGGTCCTTCCCTGGCTGCTGCCACCACTAGAGCTCTGCTGCCCTTCACCTCTGCAGCTCACATGAACTCTTTTCCACCTGTGTGCTGTCAAATTGGCACCACAACTTCAAGAGTGGTGAAACCAAAAGTAGAGTTTCTTTCTCATTCTGATTTCCAGTAATTGCCAGAAGTTTCCAGAAAGAACAGTACCTTAACAGTGGGAGCTTCAGGGTGCAAACTCCCAGGAGAAGGAGCTGAGCTGACAACAAATTAGTAAATAACTGGCAAGCTTTTTGTTTGTTGTTTCGGCAGTGCTAAGGATTGACCCAGGGCCTCCTACATGCTAAATAAGCACTCTACCACTGAGCTTTATCACCAGCCCTTTTTGCTTTTTATTTTATTTTTTGTAGGCCTGGGGACTGAATCCAAGGCGTTCACATAGAGCTATATCATATATAT